ATAAATAAACCACCAAAATAGTATAATGTCTTCTTTGAAAAAACTTCATACCGGCTATCGTTCTATTTTAAAGGTCATATGCAACTAACATTAGTTTAGAAGTATTATTAAGCTATAGTTTTATAAATTGATGAAGAATAAAAGTATGTTAGATCATCTTTCATGTGATAACAAATTATTATTGTTATTGCTGAAAGGATTTTCCAGGTCTCTTTGAGCAACTTATCTACCTAATCTCTCGAAAATATTACGTTTTCCCCCACCAAACACCGATATCATTATCCAAAAAAATATCCTACATGTTCTCCTTGCGGAGGACTAAAACTGAATTAGAGTGTTTTAATCAATAATTTTTGTACCCTAATGCCTCTTAACAAATGCATAATAACAACTTACGATATTATAGTTTTCAATTATGCGGACCCGATTTCCTGTATAAGCCCATTTCATACAATTCAGAATTCGGAATACCAAAACCACGATAATCTAAAAATAAAATCATACTCCCTTTAAAAGCACGAGTTCGGAAAATATTTTTTAGACAAATATACCCCTTTATAGTTTGAACTATTTTATCTATAATCAAATTCTAATTTTCAATGGTCAATATTACCCTTCATTATTTTGAATATTTTATTTATATCTTAATCTACCCTAATCATACGGAAAATCTTTTTTAGACAAATATACCCCTTTATAGTTTGAACTACCTTATCTATAATCAAATTCTAATTTTCAATGGTCAATATTACCCTTCATTATTTTAAATATTTTATTTATATCTTAATCTATCCTAATCATAATCATATCTTATCCTAATTCTATGTGAACCATGTTTAGCTTAACAATTTTAAAAAATTAATATTAATAAAATATATAAAACATAAAAATAATATTAGTTTGTTAAGATAAAGAAATTACAAGTAGATAACATATTATAATACATGAAGTATTGCAAAAAAACCATAAAAAGTTTTAAAATTATAGAAAACACCCTGAAAAGTTCAAAATTATAAAAATCATCCCAATGTCTCAAAACTTAAAATAAAAAACATGAAATTAAAAAATTAACATCAGTTTGCAAAGAATTTAAAATTTACAGTTAACACCTCAATGTCTCAAAAATTAAAGAAACACCCTCAAAAATTTAAATTACAGACAAGCACATTAAAATTCTAAAATTTTAAAACTTACAAACAACACAGATGAATTCAAGAGATTACCATGATACACCTAAAATTTTTGACATTTAAATTTAAATTTTTTAATTAACACCCTCAATATCTCAAAAATTATAGAAACACCTTCAAAAGTTCAAATTAAAAAAAACCACCCTAAAATTCTAAAATTTGTAAATAAAATAAGATGAATTCAAGATATTACCCTTAGACACCTAAAAAATTAAAATTTGCCAAAATTAACCTCAAAATTTTTAAAAAACTACTTCAAAATTTAAAAATCGTAAAAAAAACTCTAAATTTTCAAAATTTTTAACTAGCACACATCAAATTCGTCGAATATATATATATATATATATATATATATATATATATATATATATATATATATATATATATATATATATATATATATATATATATATATATATATATATATATATATATATATATATATATATATATATATATATATATATATATTAAAATTTCTAATTTAGGGATTTACTATCCATTTTCAGCATCTAAGAATAGTCTAAGTTGATACTGGTAAACAAAAACAATAAGAATTGATTAAAAACATCCGGTTAATGGATAAAATTTTTAAAAATATTATAGATTAAAAATTATCGGCACTATATAAATTAAAGTAATTTCATATAATTTTAGTAATAAGTTGGGGTAGCCAAAATACATTCGTAACATTAATTGATAGATGTTTAAATCCATAGAAATGATAAAACACTATAATATTATACCTTAGCATTAATTGATTTTAATTTAGAAACTTTAATCTTTGACGTTAATAATATTTATAGGGTAAAAGAATACAAGGAATTACATATGGAGAAACTATTAGAATATTTAGAGATAACTTTAAAAGAATTGAGTTATTTCCATTGCAAATGGGAAAGTGATGGAAATAAATCTAAAATTCAGAAAACGTCAATGAATCACTTGAATTGGCATTAACATAAGACATATCTATTAATGAAGCACTGAATGAGTTACATTAAAAAATAATTTAATAACTTTATCCTAATCAAAGAAAAAATCTCCATGGAAGACATAAGAAAAATTAGTAAGTATTCATAAATTCCATACTTTGTTCTTCAAATAAAATATTAATATTATAATCTAAGAGAAATTGGTAATGAATAATGCAGGTATTTATTTTAGATCTTTATGGAAAATGACAGGGATAGAGCAAATGTAATATTATCGAAATAACAGAAATTCTTATTGGATGCACATCAGAAGAATTCATTTTAGAAGAAAATAAAGAGATAGCTTCTAATTTATTTAAGTAATAAATTAGGAACACAAAGAATTTTATATATATGAAATTAATATTTATTCTCATTGAAATAGAAAAAAAATCAAAGTCTATATTTTGAGCAGTTTGTGTTGAACATCATAAGTACATTTGACTTCTTTGTAGAGTTAAATGAGATGATAAAAAATTAACGAGCCCAGGAAAGATAATAGCATAAAAAAAATACAAAATTAACCTGATGTCACAATTGATATAGATGATGAAGACAATACTCTAGAATTGCCCGAGAAATGATAAATGATAAACCTGAAGAAGGATTGATCTTAACTCAATAAAAAATAAAATAGAAGAAATAAAAAACAATATTTTTTGAATATTTTATAGGATAGTTTAATTATTTTGAGTGAAATTAGGAATCTTTAGAAGGGAGTTTCATGAATTTTTTTAGTACTTTTATATTCTTATGTGGATGTTTTTATCATATAAAAGTATACTAGAGTTAGTATTAATCTTTAATTTATATTTTTTTATGAAGTCTATCAATGATTAGGAATAAACTTCATATTCTCGTTTGCATCGTTTTAACATACTTTAAATCAATTATTTTGCCATATTGATTTTAAATATTCACCATCCTTGTATAACACTATTTTAATATTTTTTACTTTGCAATGCTATACTTTCTCAAATAAAGCTTAGTTTCATATCGGTCAAAAATAATATGAAAATTCAAATTATTTTTAAATTATATTTGTTTTTTTTCAATTCAAATATCAACATAAAAATTTAAATTGGGTGTATCCCATTTAAACAAACATAAAAAAATAATCGGGATGTAAGAGTTTAAAGAAAAAATGAGCACAAACTGCCAAAAATACTTAATCATGGTATTAAATCACGTGCATTGCACGTGTGTAAAAACTAGTAAATTACAAAATCACGAGTAACTGAAATCAACGATTGAATTTTATGTTTGATAAGACTCGTTCATGTACAAGAGTTACACCCTGTATCTTAGAGCAAATAACTGATTCAGTCGCTTTAATCTAAAATTATAAACTAAGATCTGTTCAACTTTATATGCATTTAACGATAGTTATCTACCCTGAAAAACAAAACTTTAGCCATGGGAATTAGTAACACCTCATGTTCACTCTTGTTGGAACATAACATTGTCTCTTCTTCTCTCTTTCGAATCTAGTTAGGCTAAACTGCACTTCAATGCCATACAGTTTTATCAACTTCGCACTTAAGTGATCCCTCTTTTAAAAATAAGCAAATAAATACTTCAAAGTATTTAAATATTACAAATAAATGCAAAGTTTCAAAATGTCGCATATTGGTGTCCTCTTGCTCACCCAATGTTACATACACATACTCTCAATTTGTAAATGACTTCACTTAAATACCCAAAATTTTCTAAAAATTATACTTTAGTATTCTCTGTTATGTGATGTTCTTGGATGCATAAAGAAAGCGGATTTTTTTTACTTTAAAGTATTTATCTATAATATTTAAATAATTTGGGATATTTATTTGCTTGGTTTTAAAATAGAGGTCACTTAAATGCAATGTTAGTAAAACTGTAGATCATTTAAGTGTAATTTGGTCTGAATATAACAGATGTCTTAGATTTCTTTCCGAATTGATGGACCGTAAGATATCGGGCATTTATCGTATCTAGGGGCATGTTTGTTTTACAAAAATAAAATGGAAATTGCTTGGAAACTCTCTGACGCATGCATCTTAGAAAACTTTGGCCATGGTTTGGTTCACAATTTATTTTAGCAAATCGTTTTCTTTAAAGAGGTGAACGGCATAAATGTGGAAATCCAATTTAGTGTTTTTATGGTGGAAATGACCAGAAATCTACAGCTAACAATATTTAATGCCTCAATTATCCTTTTCTGCCCCCTTTCTACTTTTCAACATCCAAACTGGAAAAAAAAAACCTTTTATTTCTTGTTTTGGGTTTCTTATTCTTGCCATCCAAACTGAAAAAGAAAAAAAAACTTTTATTTCTCATTTTGGGTTTTCAACCAAATAGTGGATTGATATTAAAAAAAGGTTTTCCACCCACGATTCTATTATTGGGAAAAAAAACTTTTCTAAGAAAGCATTGAAAATATGCGGAAATGAATTTTTTAGATGAAAATGAGTTTCCTTTATATTATGGAAATGAACAAACAGATCATTAAACTCCCAATCTTTTTGTCAGTTCTATATTGGACCCCCACACCTTCATGTTTCAGAATTAGACCCCAATCCTACTGTGTCATTTTAAATGACAGCATGTATTCTTAATTTATACCGCAAACCTATTAGTTTGTCTTAAATAACACCCCATTCCGAACAAATGTGGAGGTTTGGGTGTTTTTGGGCATGAAAAGAAAATTCGAAAATGTTATAGGCTGGGCCGACCCAATTCTCTGAACACTTTGGATTTAAGCCCGTAGCAGCAGATAATTGGGCCGAATGAGGCCCCGATTCCTAGGTTGGCCCCACTTATAAAAACAGCGTTCTCTCCGATATTTACCAAATCTGCCATCGATCTTCACTGTTTTACTGCAGCGCTGCTACTCGAACTGAAGAAGAAAACAGAAAGTGGGGCGAAATAAAAAACCCTAACCCTAGAAATCCATCAAAAGAGATCATGGCTGAAGGTGGTGGAGCGTCGTTAAAGGATCAGGGCAACGAGTTCTTCAAAGCTGGGAACTATCTCAAAGCCGCTGCCCTTTACACTCAGGCCATCAAGCTCGATCCCTCGAATCCCACCCTCTACAGGTTTCTTCCTCCCTCTCAATTAAAGCGCTTGATCTATTATTTTTTTCCTTTCGTTTTCAGAAGATCGAATCGTTTCGAATCGTTTTCAAAAGATTCAACTTTGCAAAGTGAACTCCCCTTCAGCTTTTGATCATTTCGGTGCGGAGTCGATCTGTGAGGTTCCGAAACCCCTGCTCATCTTCCTGAGCCCATTCACAGCCATGGTTGTGCCTGTGGTGAAATTTGAGAGAAAATAGAGAAGGAAATTGAGAGAAATTTAGACAAGAATTAAAGATTGAGAGAGAAAGAGAGAAAGGGAACAGGAGTTGAGTTTGAGAAGAAGAACAGATTCTATTTCATTTCTTTCATGATCCGTGTTTGATCCTTACAATCTTCTATTTATACAACTCAACTTCAAAGCTTCCAAAACAAATGTGCACAAACAGTTTAAACAGAAAAAACAGAATCAGTTAACTGTTTGCAAGACAGCCTATGTAGTTCAAAGTCTTTGCAAGTTAGACCCCAGCTTTGCGTATCAGTCCAAAATCTCTGTATCAGTCCATGTTCTTCAGCTCTATTGACAGGTTCCAGATTCCGTCCCTGACAATTCCCTCCCCTTAATTTGGACCTTGTCCCAAGGTCAAATGTAGGTAACTTTTTAACCTTAATTGGGGACTCCGTAAAGAAAAGAGCACAGTGCTCTTTTAAGAGAGCCCATATCAGCAGGAGCAATAACGACAGCCTTAATTCCCCTCTTTGGAAGCTCATTCTCAATTAACATCCTTGTCTTCCTATAGCAACCAGTGGTTGTAACGATATGGCCACCTGTAGGAACCAGGGCTGAGAGCACCGCACAACTGACATACATGCCAGAGGACACAAACAAAGTAGTTTCTGCCCTCTCTAATTCACTCATCTTCCTCTCCAATACCTTGGTAATTGGGTTCCCATATCGCCCATACTCAAAGCTTGTATGCCCACCCTCCTTGAAATCAATCAGCTCATCACAGTTCTTAAACCAGTACGCAAAAGTGTTTATTGAATTCGTCTTCAGACAGCATCCATATCTCTCTGCAACATAAGACTCATAGGATTCGTCTCCTTCCTTAGGTGGATTCATGACGAGGCTTGCCAGAATTTGACCAGATATATTTGAGCAAAGATTTACTGATGCCACCTTATAAATCTGTTCTCTCACTTCAGTGCTAAAAACGGTAACCTCCATATAGCTACCTTTCTTTCCACGTTCTCCATCACAACCCTTAGAAACTGACTGAAATGGTACTAAAGAAATATCCTGGTCTTCGTATCCCATTGATCGTGCAATCTTCTTTAAGGAATTAAATTTCTTGTGTGCAACATAGATATTTTCTTGGTAGACCCCATCTTCTAGGAGAACAAGACCTTCTTTTTTGCAGAATTCCACTATTTGTCGCTGGTTTTCTTCTGCAAGAACCTGCCCGGTTGGATTCCTGGGATTTATGACTACAAGTGCCCTAACAGTTATACCCTTTGATCGAGCATCTTCCACTTGCTTCTTAAACTCAGAAATCTCCAGTCCCCACCCTGTTTCTTCAATGAGGTAATATCGGACAAAATGGCCGCCATGAAGAGCAATCGAAGCAGAGTATAAAGGATATTGAGGGATGGGGCAGAGGATGCCATCTTTCTCTGACCTCGACAGTAATTGCATCATCATGTGGACAGCAGGGCTCGCTCCATCGGTTGAGAATATATCTTCTGCTTTGCAAGGATAACCATTACGAGCAGCAATTCCAGCTGCAATTGCATCATGTAATCCTTTGATACCCTGGCTGTGACTGTATGCACCTGTAGCTCGACCAGGAATCTGGTCTAGGATCTGCCAAGCTCTTGCTATGGAATCCACACTAAATAAGGCATGAGTTTCATCTCTGTCCAAAATTGTTGGATAATCACACAAAGCAAGAACCTCTCGGAAAAAAGTAACTGGCTGCTGGTCTAGAGACTGTGGATTCCCAATGTTACAATTAAGTATCTCAACAAGGGGATGGCTACCTGGTTTCTTTTGTAGCTCTTCTTGAAGGCGCTGGGCATTGATAACGATCTCTCCACGAACAACATACTCACATTCCACAACCTTTTGCAATTCCTCATCGGCAGAAGACGAGTTGGCCCAAGAGGACGCGACAACCTGAGCAATTCCAATGTTGCCGTAGTTCCGACGAGCCTTGTTGCTGAGCTGGCGAACAAAATTAGGTGGAAACTTGAGGATGAGAGCTGAGGAGAAGCCGTAACCGTTCGAAAATGGCAATTTCTTGTTGGGTTTTTTCTTCTTCTTGCTTAAGATTGGCCATGGCGGGTTCTTGAGCTTTGGCTTTCTCTTGCTTGAGATTGACCATGGCTGATTCTTGAGCTTTGACTTTCGATGGAGACGAGAAGACTGCGGCTTCTTCATCTTCTTCTTCATTGCATCAGATGTTGGAGATCGGTGGAGACGAGAAGATTGCGGCTTCTTCGTCTTCTTCTTCCTTGCATCAGATGTTGGAGAGAGATAAGCGTCTACTTTAGGCGATCGATTCCAGTACCTCCACGAGCGCCTCAAAGACCCCTGCAGATTCTTGGTGGATCTCAATGTCTCACTGAGGCATTTCGTCGAACACCTTTGTTGGGTTTTCTTGGAAGAAGATATCTGAGTTGAATTTGGAGAGACTGGGAAAGATTGGAGATGGGTTTCGCGGGAAAAGGGTTTCTTTGTTGGATTTGGCGATTTGGGGAAATTAGGGTTAGAGTGGAAGCACGTTGAGCTGCTTACAGGAACACCAACATACTTCCTCTGAGATTGATGGTTGCTTTCAGTGAAATCAAACATGGGTTTTCTTGATTCGCTTCTTGATTCTGAGCTCAAGAATCGCCGATCGTTCTTCGTCCCTGAACCCCAAATTCCTTGGCCTAGATCCGTGGAGTTCCTGAGTTCTTGGAGAAGTTTTGCATTCTCTTCCAGCTGAGAAAACATCTCCGCCCAGTGTTGATCGAATAAGCTTTGCTCTGATACCAATTGTGAGGTTCCGAAACCCCTGCTCATCTTCCTGAGCCCATTCACAGCCATGGTTGTGCCTGTGGTGAAATTTGAGAGAAAATAGAGAAGGAAATTGAGAGAAATTTAGACAAGAATTAAAGATTGAGAGAGAAAGAGAGAAAGGGAACAGGAGTTGAGTTTGAGAAGAAGAACAGATTCTATTTCATTTCTTTCATGATCCGTGTTTGATCCTTACAATCTTCTATTTATACAACTCAACTTCAAAGCTTCCAAAACAAATGTGCACAAACAGTTTAAACAGAAAAAACAGAATCAGTTAACTGTTTGCAAGACAGCCTATGTAGTTCAAAGTCTTTGCAAGTTAGACCCCAGCTTTGCGTATCAGTCCAAAATCTCTGTATCAGTCCATGTTCTTCAGCTCTATTGACAGGTTCCAGATTCCGTCCCTGACACGATCTGTAGTTGTGAAGTGGAAGGATTAGTATGTTAGGGTTTAGGGTTTGTAATTTCGATTATACGACATGTGGGGTTTTGAGTTTTGAGCATTAATATTAATACGGCGAACTAGTAGTAGTATGCGAGTTTTGATAGAACTATGCACCTCGAGTGTCACTATTGCAGTACTATGGTTGATGCTGCTTCACCTTTGCATGGTTGTTCATTGTATTTGGTTCTAACCATTTTGATAAAAAAAGCCCATTTTGATAAGAAAAGCTTAAACCAAAGTTTCGTGGAGACTGAGACATGTAAAAGTTATTTGGGTATGATACGTTGAGTCTACAGGCGACAAATTTTGAGAAGGGCGTGTCGTACTTGTATCAGATCCGGCAAAGCTTCATTGTAGACGTGTCTGGCTGTCTGTCTTACATAAGCTTAAATTCCTCTTTTTATTGTTTTCTATATTCTACTGTCATTTCCATATCCTATTTTTTAAGGAGTTTCCAGCCTAAGAAAAGCTTAAAAGTTAAATCCATGTTTCATGGAGACGGGTAAGCCTAAATTATTTGGGCTTGTAACATTGACACACGACGAAGTTCATGAAGGACGCATCATACCTGCATCAGAGACAACAAGACTTCATGGCAGAAGTGTGCGTTACATAGGCTTAAATTCCTCCCTTTGTTGTCTTCTATATTCCTTTCCACATGCTATATGTTTTAAAGAGTTTCCATGTCTTATGTCTGTGATATCCATATCTGGATCTGTGTTGGTCTGATTTTAATATCTGGATCCATTTCCATGTGATATCCACATCACTATCCATGTCCTTGCTTCTTAAATTGGAGTTCGAATTCTATCAGAATTCTGCACTACATGTGACATTCTGAGTAATGTAGAGGGACAGCGAAACAAGCACCCCCCCCCCCCCCCAAAAAAAAAAAAAAAAAAAAATTCTGCAATATATTGATACACGCCACCACCATTCACAACGTGGATAATATTGTGTCACTTGTGTTTTACTTAGTGGATAGTTATGTTTTGTGGGTAGCTGTAGAGACAAGAGTGATGTTAGTGGGTAGAGATAATATTAGTATGGTTATATATAGTTGTTGTAATGGAGATGAGGGTATGAATGAGAATTATTGTTTGCTTATCCTCTAGTTCTTCTCTTTATCTTCTTCCTCTGTTCCTCTTCTTCTTCCTCTATCAAATTCAACCTCATCATTGGTATCAAAGCCAAGTTTCGACCATGGACACTCGTGACAAAACGAATGCCGAATTCCGCAGTGAGGTCAATGAAATCTTAACACGACATGAGTCCAACTTTGATCAAATTAATGCTACACTCCAAATGGTGTTAACAGAACTTCAAGCTCTACAAACCGTCCAAAGCCCACATACTAATAATCTTGAAACTAACTCATTTGCTTCAGGAGAATCCTCACATTCGTCACAGGCTGCTCGTTCTACCACCAATAATGACCACCGTCACCAACACCTCAAATTGCTCTTTCCAAGGTTCAAGGGCGAGGACCCAACTGGCTTGATCTACAAAGCAGAGCAATATTTTGATTTCAAAAATATTGCCTCTGACCAACGAGTTTCGCTAGCGTCTTTCCATCTTAACGACATTGCCCTACAATGGCACCGGTGGTTCACGAAATTTCGCGGACCACTTACATGGGATGAATTCACCAAAGCTGTCCTTCTCCGTTTTGGTCCAACAAACTACGAAGACCCGTTGGAAGCCCTAACTCGGCTTAAACAAGACTCAACCGTTGCAGCTTATCAGGAAGCTTTTGAAAAGCTTTCTCATCGCATTGACGGCCTACCCAAAAATTTTCTCATTGGTTGTTTTATTGCAGGACTTCGTGATGACATTCGCCTCGATGTAAAAATTAAGCCGCCCAAGACCCTGATAGATGCAATAGGAGTCGCTCAACTAATTGAGGAACGAAATCGGTTACACAAGCAACCGAGCTAACCATTTCGCTCCTAACCAGCTTCTGTGGCATCAAAGGTGACCACCCCCAACCCAACAACTGATGTATTAGGTCCTCCACCCGCTCAGAGTGTGAATGCAAGTTCAAATACTACTCCAACAACATTCCGTCAACTCACCAACCAAGAGGCACGAGACCGTCGAGAGAAGGGTTTATGTTACTATTATGCTAAGAAGTTCATCCGGGTCATCACTGTAAACGTCCACAACTATTTATGATTGTAGATTCACCATATTCAAGCCACGATGATGATAACAATGTTCAACAAGAACCAAAGAGTCAAGAAGCAATTTCCGTTCACTATCCTTGCGGACAAGGATCCTTAAGGGTGGGCGAATGATACATGCCACCACCATTCACAACGTGGATAAGTGGGTAGTTGTGTAACTTGTGTTTTAGTTAGTGAATAGTTATGTTTTGTGGATAGCTGTAGAGAGAAGAGTGGTGTTAGTGGGTAGAGATAATATTAGTGTAGTTATATATAGTTGTTGTAATGAAGATGAGGGTATGAATGAGAATTATTGTTTGCTTATCCTCTAGTTCTTCTCTTTATCTTCTTCCTCTGTTCCTCTTCTTCTTCCTCTATCAAATTCAACCTCATCATATATCTCAATTGGTAAGAATGCCCTGTATGTGGCATGTCCATACTGATGTATATTACTTACTGTAAGTTGGCTGTACTTATGCTGTTTATGTAATTTAAACTTTGGGTGGTGCTTGCAACATGTGTGTGCTGGTAAATGGATAGGCTGGCCTTTTTGTTTGGCAAATTAAAATTTCAAATGCCCCTTCTTCCTGTAATCGCCTGAACTGATTATTTACTGAACTTCTATTTCAACACCTAATATACTGATATGCTTGTTTTTGTTTCTTTTTCCTTTTTCCTATTTTGTTTTGTTGTTGACAGTAATCGTGCAGCAGCATTCTTACATCTTGTCAAACTCAATAAGGCTCTTGTTGATGCTGAGACAACAATCAAACTATCTTACATCTTGTCAAACTCAATAAGGCTCTTGTTGATGCTGAGACAACAATCAAACTAAACCCTCAGTGGGAGAAGGTATGTAGGGCATGTCCTTTTGATTGTTGATGCTGAGACAACAATCAAACTAAACCCTCAGTGGGAGAAGGTATGTAGGGCATGTCCTTTTGAAACTTTGTTGTGTCTTTTTCATCGGGTCTTAATGTTAGTATTCAGATTCAATATTCATGCTGTCATCCAACTTTACAGACAATTTTCTTGTTCTTAGCTTTTACCACTGTCATTTGGTACTATTTCAGGGACACTTCAGGAAAGGTTGTGTTTTGGAGGCAATGGAGAGACATGAAGATGTAAGGTCACAATTTCTATTTTTTGCGTTTATTACGGACTATAAAAGCCTGGCCAATCACATTTCTTCCCAAATTAATGAATTTAAATATTTATATTTATACTTTATGATTTATCAATGAGGCCTCTGTTTATAAGTGAACTAAAAGGAATCAACATCATCTGGATATTGTAAGGTGTAATTCCAATTCAACCCTGATTTACCAATTGTCTGACATTTGGATTACCGGCATTTCGTGGAATTCTGACCATAGATTATCTGTATAACTTGAAGGGAAATTATTAGATAACTAATAAAGCATCCATACTTTATGATTAAAGACGCGCATGGAAAACCACTATAGCTTAAACTAAAAAGTTGATTTGGATGGATGACGATACCATAAAGTACAAGGATAACAAATGACTGAAGGTAGCTCAAATTGCGGATAAGAAAAATTAATGTGGGCATGCTGGAGACTGATGGGTGCTATGTGGAGAGGGCGGGATCTTAGCTAAAGAAGCAACTAGGGCAAAGGGTAGACCAAATAAGTGTTTACTGGGGGAGGATAAATTCTCTGATACAATGTGCTAAACTGAGGTAGCCTTTCACGGAGCTAAACAGAGAACTAAGTAACTTTGTAGCGGATTTACATTTTGGATATGGACTTTGTTTATGCAATTGCTTCGTAAGAAGGTTTATCAATTCTAAGGTCTCTGGTTTAATGGTCCTGGTGGCGATGAAAGATAGGACCTGTATCAACTTGTCACCATCAGCCATAGAGGACTTGTTTTTCTGCTCTTTGTTAAAGTGATTTCCTAATCTTTTGTCTTTTCATTTTCTTTTTATATTGCAGGCTATCATTTCATTTCAAGAAGCCTTGAAGTTTAATCCAAAGAGCTTAGAAGTATCCAAGAAGATCAAGAGGCTCACACAATTAGCGAAGCCTTGAAGTTTAATCCAAAGAGCTTAGAAGTATCCAAGAAGATCAAGAGGCTCACACAATTAGCAATAGAAAAGAAGCAAGCTGATCAAGAGGCTCACACAATTAGCAATAGAAAAGAAGCAAGCTGAAGAACGCGAGAGTATCAGGTCCAGCGTTGATATGAGAAAATATTTGGATCCTCTGAGATCAGAAATAGTAAGTTAATAATGAATGTTTTTGTTTGATTTTAGATATCCAACATAACTTGTAACTTTCTTGCATCATTTCATTACTTGTCATGGTGATGACTTCCATGAGACAATCTAAATGGATAGGTCATCTTAATCAGTTAACGTAAGCTTGATTCCTAGCAAATATTATCAGTTAATCTATGTCAATATTAGCTGCAAAATGAGTCATGACAGTTTGCATCTTAGCATCCAATAGATGCACATGATTATTATATTCTCCATGTGAAACATTGTTCTCCAATTACTGGTTAGGCAAAGAATTGAGTAACACACTGGTGTAAGAAAAAAGAAATAGGTAACAAACTGCTAGATCTAGACTGAAAATGATACTTATCCTCTGTAACTCTTGCACCTTGTATACAAGTATATGAAGGTTCTTACAACCTAAGCTTTCTTCAATGTCTCTTATAAATGCTTGCACTTAGCAGATGAGGTAATTTATTATTTATAACCCTATGCTTATGTAAACTAAACGCTAATGGTAATCAGGAATACTATTCCCATCATTAGCTTACTTGATTTATTGTTTGCAGTCTGGAAAACTTGGAGCTGTGGAGGAAAGTGAAGAATTTTTTTCTTTTGCTGTTGAAACGATGGAGTCAGCTATAAAAGTCTGGCATGAGACTGGAAAAGTGGATCCAAGAGTCTATTTCCTTCTCGATAAGCAGAAGACACAGACGGATAAATATGCCCCGGCTGTCAATATCGATAAGGTACTATGGTTTTACCTTGTTACAACTGTTTTTAGATTGAAGATAATAGATTCTATGATATGCATAAATCTCTTCAATAAATGAAGCCATTTAATTATAAATAAACAGTCTCAGATACTAACTTCTCCACAAGGACGTAGTATGATTAATATTCCTGTCTTATTTCCCCTTTGCTAGGCATTCGAGTCTCCAGAGACGCACAGTAGCTGTTTCACCTTTTTAAGACAGTATGCAGAGGAGTCATTTTCTCAGGCTGCTTGCTTGGTAGCACCCAAAAGCATTATATCGTATCCACAGGTATTCTATCTGACCTTGTTTCCTATCTTCTATTGAATATTCATCCTATGTCACAATCCCTCATTCATTATTTTCCAGGGGACCTCCTACTTGTATCGTACTAGTATAGTGTACGTGCAATGCATGTGACATACTTATTTTATATTCTAAATTTTTTTCATGGGCAAGAAGGTAGTACACTGGCTTGAAGGAAAAAGATAAAAAATTGTTTGTAGAAAATTATTGGAAAGAAGTTTTGAGTGTTTTAGTACGTACATTTACAAATAAAATGAGTATCAATGAATAAGGATAAATAATTTTTTGACCGATTCGTTGTTATTGGCTTCTTAGGCTGAGCATGATATACGTGTAGAACTAATCGATATTGAGAACAAAAGTAATGATAATTGTTGTAGTAATATCTGAGCATGATATACGTGTAGAACTAATCGATATTGAGAACAAAAGTAATGATAATTGTTGTAGTAATATATTATGTAAATAGATTAGTAGAACTAATCGATATTGAGAACAAAAGTAATGATAATTGTTGTAGTAATATATTATGTAAATAGATTAGATATGTGATGCAAAGCAAAATATGTAGATTTTGTAGTATTTAATACACATACCTAGTAACACATAGAAAATGTCTATTTCATTTTAAAAAATTTGTTCATCACAACCTGAACTATAGGTACAGGCATACAAATAGTATTTGATTTTGGACATACACAGATGTAACAGTTGTTTCTAGGCATGCATCAATATAATTATATGACAAAACTTACAATAGTTCTTCCCAATATTATAATAATATTAAATATAGAGAAGAGAGAGAAGAGAGAGAGAGAGAAAACGGGAGGTGAGCTGGCAGCGTAGGAAATTTCCTACGCTGCAAGTGTATGACATGTGAGCCCCACACCGATATGACTAGTAAGGGGCTCACATGTCATACACTGGCATGTAAGGATTCCTACGCTGCCAGCTCACCTCCGTTTTCTCATATAATAATATATATATATAATATATAATATTATATATATAATATATATATATATATATATATATAATATATCAACTTAAACACAAAAAATATGACTGAACAGATAAACATTCAATTGGCAGTGGTAAACTAAAGAGAGCAACTATAGTTACACAGCTAAAGCTAAATAGTTAGGGTTATCTAGATATTAGTCCTAGAATTTTGAGTAGTTATATGTTAGTCCTTCAAAACTTTGTAATTACTCGCAAGTCCATCTTGATCTAAGGGTTCTTACAAAGAAGGAAGGACATAAGTTTCACGGTTAAAAAATGATGTTATTGATTTTCTCTTAGTACGAGAGATGAAATCATGTTATCAAACATATGGTCCAAAAGAAAAGGAATTTTTTTTAGATTCAATTTGGGCTATTTGGAAAAAAACCTCTGCTTTAACTACAAAAATATGGATACCTGAATGTTGCTCCCCTTCTCATCCATATCATTTAATTAGCCAAATTAGAACACTTACTTCTATAGTTGCTCGGGTTCGGGGGGAAGTTTTTGATGAATAGCTTAATTATCAATTTATCACTATTCTTTTTAAAGATGCAAATTCACTAAATTTGGGGGTATATATGGAAGAAAAACTTTTTTAATTTCAGCTACGACCTATTTGTTGTAATAACAAAGTAATTTAAAAAGGACACGTAAGCAAAGAAGTCCTTGACATCACCATTCCAGAGCTTGAACCACACAACCAGAATTCCATCGCCTAATATATCTATATGTAAGTAACTGAGAGAGCTTTTCTTAAACATCAAACAACATTATAGATCAATTAAATCAAAAATTTCAGTTTATATTATAAAACATACCTTTGTTTTGGTTCTCAATTCCTAATTCACAATTCCAACAAGCTCTTGATCTTGTAGGGCTCCTTATTGGCTTTCATATACTTTGACGTTGAGGTTGTTGGCTATATGTAATAAATTAAAAAATAAAAAATATTTCTTTCTCTAACAATCAACCCAAATTGTTTTTTTTTTCAGAAGGTCTAATTTTAATCTAGTTATAAAGGTACGCACCCTTCTGTTCAATTATGACCATTTGTTAGCTTCTCCATTATCTTTCGTAAGCTCGTCGACAACTGATCTTGTGATTCTGGTTGCAAATTTGAAACCTAGGGCTAGGATAAATTCAAAGGTAAACTTGTAAAATTTTATGCGAGATTTGATACCTGTTGATTATGAGAGATAAGGAAATTGTGAAGAATGAGAGGTTGTAAGTGATTGCATTCGAGTGGCTTGAGCTTCAGTAGCAAGTGATCCCAAACGGATGTTGGGAAATGGCTCATCTGTCGTTGCTCAAAATCGAGCTAAATAAACATTGTGAGCACTTGTAATCCTAAGCACTTACTATGATCAAACTAATTTTAATTGAGAAAGAACGATGCAACACCACATTTGGAATTCCAAACCCTCCATTTTAATAGATTTTAATTGAGAAAGTGTAAACGTCACGTCTCCACCTTTAAAATTAATTAACTCTCCATAATTTAATTAGCTGATTTTAATTGAGTGAGAGAGCCATAAATCAATCTTTGGAATTCAGAGCAAGCAATTTGGTTTAATACATTAATAAACATTGTGAGAGTCGCCTGTAATCCCAAGCACTCACCATGATCAAACTGATTTTAATTTAGAAAGAAAGGTGCAACTCTACCTTTGGAATTCCAAGCACTCAATTTTAATAGATTTTAATTAAGAAAGCGTAAACGTCACGTCTCCACCTTTAAAATTAATTAACTCCATAATTTAATTAGCTAATTTTAATTGAGAGAGAAAGCCATAACTCAATCTGTGGAATTCAGAGCAAGCAATTTGGTTTAATACATTACCCTTTATATTTTAGTGCACATAGTAAAGTTTACAAGATGGTACATAATTGATTTGAAGGGGGTATGGTTTTGTGTAATTATTACATTTGATGATTTAATTAATTAAATTGGGTTGCATATTAATTTGAGTGCAATATGGTGATTTGAGTGAATTTTGAAGGATATTTTGGGAAATCAAAAGTTTTGACACTCATATTCTCTTTTATAAGTAGTATAGAAGTATAGATTATATAATATATAACAATAACAAATTGATATATCAAAATAATTAAACATATTATTATTTAAAAATAATATGTAATAATTATAATATAACATAACACATTAAAGTACAATAATTGTTCTAATACATTATACAATACTATATTGTATTATATTTAATATTATAATACTATAATAATGTAAAATAAATATTATAATATTTTATTTATAATATATTTTAGTATAATTTATATATAAAAGATTAATAATATGTTTAATATTAATGTTGTAACGGGTCAAGCTAGTGTTGACAAAAAACACTATAAAGAAAACACTATGGTACCCAAACGAAGCCTAAGTTATTGACCAGTCATAAGGTTGGCATTACAACATATTAAAAAGGTGAATTTCACAAAACAACCCCCGACTTTGGTCTATTTTGAACTGAGCCCCCAAACTTATAATAATGTCACTTAAACCCCCCTACTTTTGGTGTTTACATGAAACCCACACAAGCTTTGACCTTTTTCAAAATGCGCCTTACATGAAAAGGTTGGGGCTTTATGAAGTTTACTAAACTGAATCTGAGAAAGTGGTGTTTATATGGTTAGGGAGATGTTGAAAAAAAGTTAAAAGAGTTTATGGGGTTTTTGTGAAAACCCCAAAAGTTAGTGGGTGAGGTGAGGTGGGTTAAACCAAAATGAGCCGACGCTGGGAATTTGTGAAATTTACACCATAAAAGAGTACTAATGTGTCTGACTTTTCTGTAAACTTCATCCAATCCCTAATATAATAATATTCTGTAATTGCAATAAAAAAATAAATAATCAAGATTGCAGAAATAACTCGGATTAAACCCATATATACCTTCCATTAGCAGAGGAGACAAAAATTTCATCTTCAAGAACTTAAAACGACTCATTTCTTTACATAATTCTTAAACCTAGCAACAACTTCAAAAATTTATCGAAACAAAAGAATAAATCATCCATTTCTTTACATAATTCTTAAACCTAGCAACAACTTCAAAAATTTATCGAAACAAAAGAATAAATCATCAAGATTTTGTAAATAATTTAAACCTAGCAACAACTTCAAAAATTTATCGAAACAAAAGAATAAATCATCAAGATTTTGTAAATAATCTAAATAAATTATATGATAGAATAATAATTTAAATATAATTTGTACCTTCTGTCATTTTTTAACAAAAAGGTGCAATGTTTTACCTCAATAAAGCATCAATGGGAGCATAGGGCTGGGTATTCACCAATTCAAGAAATTAATCATGATTTTGAGAATTTCACCTTTCCGGCCATTTGAGTAACAACCACCACAATGATCCCCAAAGTCGTTTATCACCCTCGGAGTATACACTGGCGCAAACTGGGGGGAAAACGTAGTTATCATCATAAATTTAAATAAAACAAGATTAAAATTTAAAAATCAAAGATGACCCTAGAAACAATTCATTGACGCAAACTGGAAAAATAGAACACAATTCTCATTATAATCATAAACTTACATAAAAGAAGATGAAAATTTAAATTATGTGATAGAATCATCAAAGGTAAGTTGAAATGTCGGGAGCTATATTTGAAAGAGTAAATGAGGTTTAAATGCAAGAATAGAAAAATAAAAGTGAAGTTGAAAGGTTTAAAGTTATATTTGGAAAGAGTAAATGACAAGATTATGTGAAATTAACCTTAAATGAGAGTTTAATGTGCATAGAAAAAATTAATTAAAGAGAATATTGAAGGTTGGAAGTTATATTTGAAAGAGTAAATTATTTACTAATACTAATAATTTAATAAACAAAGATTACAGAAAAAGGGCAAAATAGGGGAAAAAGATAAAAATATAGGAAATAATTAGAATTAAAAAATTTGTAAACGGCAAAATAGGTATGCAAAAGTTTTAACATTTGTTTTCTCTTTTAGAAGTAGTATAGATTTGTCCACTATAAATTGGGAGAAAAGACAGTAGACAATAATGATTAGAATAACACTAAAAGGGAGAGGCTCAGATTCATAAAGCTTAGCTAGTTTTGCCTAATTTGAACATTCAGATCATTGGAAACAAAATGTGTTGTATATGTTCAAACATATGCAGGAGGCTTACTGCAGGCTTTGCAAGGGATCTGTAGGGTCGAAAAATTAAAGATTGATTGATTCTCTTGTTTTAAAAAAAACGGGTTCGATTATTTGGTACGAAACCCTTATAATCACTCACATGCTCTCTCGATTACAGATGAAGAGAAGATTAATTCAGCTCCTCCTTGTTTAACGTGAGTTCTTCGTGGCGAAAGGATGTTTCTCCCGATGCTTGAGTCGAGATTGCCTCCCGTTGACGAACAAGATTGCTGAAGCTTCTCACGTTAGTTAGCCGGCTGGAATCAAAATTCGAACTCCGGATTTACATGCAGAAGCTCTGATCTCTGATGATTCTCGAGGTCTAAATTGTCAAGAGTTTGAAGTCTGAACCGCCAGAACTTCCAACCAACTCTTCATAACTGTTTGCGGTTATTTATAGAGCTTTAGCACGTAATTGACGTGCTACAATTGTGGGGTCGTGGGCGTAACCGACTTCTGAGATTTAACCCATGTTGATTAATGGAGCGTAACATACTCCTTAGATTTAGCCCACGTAGGCTGACTTGGTCCTCGTGGCCGTTACGGCCGAACTTCGTGTGGATGATGAGCCTCGTTGCGTGACGAGGTTCGTTAGACAAGCTTCGTCTTCGCTGACGAGCTTCGTATTCATTGACGAGCTTCAAATCTTGTTTCCAACAACAAGCTTTGTTATTTGAGATGAGGTTTGTCATTGTAATGACCCTCGTCATGCTTGTTATGAGCTTCGACGCTTCAAGGCCAAATGATTAGCCGATGATCTATGAAGATCCATGAGAGTGGAGGAGAGAGGTTTTTTGACTAGCCTCTCCATCTCCGCCCTTCTTTCATGTTGATCATGCCTATTTATAGGTTTAGGAGTATTATGGAGTGAGTTAATGAGCTTTAACTCCTCTTAAAATGAGGGAGTTAGTGGTCATTAACTCTCCTTAAATGGGTGAGTTAGTGATCATTAACTCTCCTTAAATGAGTGAGTTATTAGTCATTAACCCTCCTTAAATGTAGCATCTGAAAATTATGACAGACGAAGTTCGATTATGCGCAAGGTTCGTCAATAATGGCAATGGTGATATTTATCTTCAATGACGAACTTTGTTTCTGGCTGAACTTCATCTTCAATGATGAACTTCGTTTCTGGCGAACTTCGTCTTTAATGACGAACTTTGTCTTCAATGACGAACTTCGTTTCTCGACGAACTTCATCTTCAATGACTAACTTCGTTTCTGGGCGAACTTCGTCTTCAATGACGAAGTTTGTCTTCTGAGGGGGTGAGGCGTTGCTTGACGAGGTTCGTCTGTGGATGAACTTCGCCTCCTAAAAGGACTTCATTTCCTAGAGGAGTTTTGTCCGTGGTGACGAACTTTGATGTCGAGCTTCGCGACGCAGCGAACCTCGTCTTTTGATGTCGAGCTTCACTGCGTGGCGAACCTCGTCTTTTAATGTTGAGCCTCGCTGCATGGCGAACCTCGTAGGCGAAGCTGTCAGGCGAGCTTCAATCAGTTCAGGCGAGCTAAGTTATCAGGCGAACTTAGCATTGCAAGCGAACAACGAAGTCTAGTCTTATAGGCGGACTTTAGAACATGCTGCGAAGAACGGGTCATAACTTTCAAACCGTAAGTCGGAATTGGACGAATTATATATGAAAATCGACTATCTTGACGAGACGGAGCCGACCAAACCGACCCCAAAGGGTTCGGTTTGCTCCTGTCCGTTTCGCCAAATTCCTTACGGTTTGAGAGATATTAGCGTTTCTGTCAGTTTTGAGCTTCTTTGCTAGGAATTATAGCAATTTTTATTGCCCACAGGATCTTACTACCTTTATATTTTGTATTTTTAATTCTATAAATAAAAGTGAACAGCTTGATGATTCCTTTGTAGGTTTGGAAAGGTCAGGGATCAAGAAAATGGAGGCATGGGCAGGGTGATGGCTTCTTTGTGCAATTTGAGTCACCTGTGCTACGAAAGTTGTGGTTTGTTCCTAGTTCATCTGAGAAGGGGAAAACCTTGTGCAGGTATTTTTATACTCTTATCTCCCATTACAGAAAGCTTCATTGGTAGTTTTTTCAATGGTACATCTCTATATGAGCTTCAAGCATTACTTACATAGACATCGAGGGGCTGTTTGGTGGTAGAAACCTTGGAAATGGGTTTCTCCCCGCACCTTGCAAATTGGTTTATTTCTTTTGTTTGGCTTCGGGAGAAATGGTTTTGAGGAAATGTGTTTCCCAGATCCCATTAATTTCTTGAAAACCCACTTCCAAATGTTGAGGTTGGAAATGCGCTGGAATTCTATTTTTTTGGGATTAAAATGGTTAAAAGACGGGTTTAAATTCAAAATATTACAAATCTCCCCATTTTCCAATGCAATGAATTCCAATTTTGAGTTTCAATCCAAACAATAGAATTACAAAGAAATGAATTACCCCCTTCTTTTCCATTAGCATTCGTGAAATTATTGGTTTTGAGAAAGCTATGAAAACGCTTGGAGAAGCTTTCTCAGTTGAAACCCTTTTTCTATAGTTATTGGAAAACAATCAAACAAGCTCTTAGTAGAACAACTATGATCCAAGACATATTGAGCAACTCTTAATAATACGGCCATTCACTTATAACTCTCGAATTGCCCTAAATTTCATGTTCACATGCAACACTATTTCCGTGAATTCTCTACATGACATTAGAGGTTAGTCATTGCTCCTCTGTAAAGATCCTTTCCTTCTTTAGTTGAGTATCTTACACTGTTCAGCCTTATTTCTCTCAGGGACCCTGCAGCTTTGGATGTTAGTGCTCATGAAGTGCTTCCAAGGATTTTTAAGGAATCCAACTCACCTCTATGAACACCCTTGTTGTTTTGAGACCAAAGATGGTTCCAAGAATGGTATAATATAAAGATCCACCCTCATCAAGCTTAATTAGAATATCGAGGATCCGTAATGACTGCAATGCAAAGAATCGCCACTAAGGTTTATCAATTTTGTATATTATTTTTTGTAACTGTAGTGTAAACAAATTTTGCTAGTTGAAATCATCATATGCTTATTTACTTGTAAGATATTTGTCATCTCACGCGCATGCCACTTAACCTGTGTTTAGTGAGTTTTCCAGTCAATATCTGTAGATTGCAGATGAGTGGTTGTGGTTTTGGTTCAATTCATGATTTGGTTCTTCAATGAATGTCAGGTTTGGCCGTGTTGTATAAACATTTTCTTCTTATTAGTAATGGAGTGTTTATCTTGCTCATGAATGTTTCTTATGCATCCGTTATAAGGCAGAAGAAGGCTGCTGATCACCTGTAGCCTACATCAGCCCACACCTTAGTTAAAAACCGAGAATTTATCTTGCTCATGAATTTCTCCTATTATGGCTTGCAACCTGGTACTGGTGCTTAAACGAGTGTAAATTGGAGGAATGCATTTAAGCTATACTCCCCATTGTAGTGATGATGGTAAGCAAAAAAATAGCATAGGCCTTAAATGCATAACTTCAGGAGCTGTAATCATAGGCGAGGAGGTGATTGTGGAGGATCAACTTCCTCTGGAGGTCAGCATCCTTAAAAGATTATTGCGTTTGAGGCAATCTCTCGGGCAATTTATCTTCCTTATTTTAAATATTCCCGTCATTTCTTTTCAAGTTCTATTAGTATTAGTAGTTACAATATAACATGCGTCTAGTAATGTAGGTTTTCCATATTATTTTCAGTGAAGGTCCCCAGAATGTTATTGTCTCTAATATTATCTAAGACTATCTCCAATGGTGTCCTATTTAATTGTCATTCTCAACATGCCACATAATATTCTCTCTCTTCCACATAATCAAGATCACCCCACAAACATTCACCATTTCCAAATAGTAATAATTAGTTTGTGATATTATTTTTTTATTTATTATTCTAATAATGATATTTATAATATAGTAATATTTTTTAATGTTTTATTATCAATAATTAACTTTTATTATTATCCTTTTTTGTTAATATTTATTATTATTAATGGATAAATAAAATAAAAGATTTATTTAAAATTTATTCAATACAAATTAAAGCATACAATTGAACTCTAATGCAAAATGCATTACTACATTTGGTTAGATCCAAATTTTTGCCATATGTGATTAATAAGGTCATTCTTCAATTGGAGATGCCCATCTTTATCATGAAGTTCGTCTCTAGTGCGAACATGTGCTGCAAATTGTGGCAATACAGTAGTAGTGTATTGAAATGAAGAGCTAGATCCATCGGTGTTTTGTTGATCATATGTAATTCCTTGATTGTACTCATAATTATCTCGTTCATCTTCCACTATCATATTATGCAATATGATACATGCTCTCATGATAATTTTTTATTATGAAAAATAATAATTTTTATGAAAAAATATATTTACAAATAAACTCTATATCTATAAATTACTAAAAAGAGGAAGAAAGAAAAAAAAGAAAAAAAAGATGAAAGCTTTTTTCAAACACCGCGCGGATTTCCAGAAAAAGCATGGGCCCATGTTGAATTTGAGACCGTCTCATTTATTTGAGACAATGGAGTCTCTCTCCATCCTTGGTGGCAAATAAGATAACAAATAGGACACTAGTGGGTGTCTCTTTCCAATTAATAAGACTCCATTGCTGATAGTCTAAGCTGCAAGTTTTGTTGTTTGTTTGGTGATGACATCACAGTAGAATGTTGCTCCATCGTCCCATAACCATTTGGGCTCTCAGAGCAGTATGTTACTCTAATAAGCCGCCCTTTCGTTGTTGAGAATGTAGCACCGATGCCTCTAATGTGAGTTTACCTGAATCCTCTTATGAAGCCATTTTAGACGTAGCACCCTCTTCTGTTTCCAACTTTGATAGAACATCAGCAGATGATGCTTGCAACTTAACGCCGATAATTTTGGTTTGTGTTTGACGTAATGCCCTGCTAAATTGAACTTGTGCTAATTTTGGTTGCTAGAACTGACTACTGTTTTCCCAGAGCATGCAACTTTTTGTTAACTCCAGGTGAGTACTCTTTCATAAATCGAAAGGTGAGAGACCCCCGCTGTATGATCAATGAACTTTGTCTCTCCTATATATTCACGTCGAGAATGCAATTAAGACCATAATCATACAAATCAAAAATAAATCATGGATGTTTTGCAGTTGGGTCAGAACTACATTGTCCCCTTCCTTGCTACCTTCTCAAGCGTTGTATATTTCATTTCCAGAATGTCATGCTAATAAGCATCTTATTGAGGTGATTTGAAATTTAGATTTGTCTCGGTTGGTGCCCCATGGTCTCAAAATCTAGTGGGTAGAATTCATGATCAGTGAACTTTGTCTCTCTTATGTACATCAATAAATTATTGATTACTTATCATAGTAAATGACTAACATTTTGGTTTTTGTAACTTATCTGACAACAGTTTCCTAATATTTAGACAAAGGCTTGTAGAGAATGGATAAGGACTTCTGTTTCCTTAGTATTTAGACAATGGCTTGTAGAAAATGCATGAGGACTTGGCAGCTACGACTATTGATTTGTGCTCCTCACATGAAAAGATATCTAAAGTGCTAGTCTCCTTTGCATCAAGTCAACACTTTGATTTTGGCAAATGAAAAGAGAGATTCATTTGTTCTTTGGTGGATACATTAGATTTGCTAGTCTCTGCTTGTGTCGAGATCAGATCAGCGTAAGGACACTGAAAGAGTAAGGTGTCATTTGAGTTCAAACATCAGAATATGACTCATTATAGATTTTTCGCTTATATTGTTTATTCTTTTAGGACAAAATGACCCTCTTAAAGTATTTGTGAACTCTCATGTTTCTCTCTTAAGTACCTATTTATCTAATTTTCCATTAAACTATGCGTACATGTTATTTTGTGAGTATGCAACCAAATATTTAACAGATAAATAATGTGATAATTTTCTTTTTTTGCATTTATTGTGTTTTTACAATTTTAAAAATAATTTTTTAATTCCTAAAAGGGGTTAAGTGGTAAAAGTTTTGGAATGTAAATTATTTTATTATAAGCTTATAAAGTGACCACATGGAATGTAAATTGACATATTAAGAGAGAGCTCGAGAGATCCTCTATAATTTAAAGATGATTTAGTTGTTTTGCCCATTGATTCCTTCATTCATCTTTCAAGTATTCATTAACCACGGTGCAGTATTAATGCAGAAAAAAGCTACTCTTTTCACCTAGCTACCTGCTTATTATTCTCGTGGCAGTAGATCGACATCCGTAGACTGGAATCACGTGATCTAATTCACCCAAAGCTGAGATCTGAAAATTCAAGGCATCATCCATTTTTTGTTGGTTCTGTGTAAAAGAGAGAGTCCCATGCATACAGTATCCAACCCAACAGAATAAAAGTGATGGAAGTACGTAATCCGTGGGTCTTTAATAACGGTACACCTCGGCATTTAAAGCGCGAGCCAAACATCTTTTTCGGCATTTAAAACACTCATGAGATATAAACAGGGCCAGCTCTTACCCCTTCATTAATATGAACTTTTTGTGCATTGAGACCGAAGAATGGCACAAGACATGTGAGCCACTTTCATTGCATAAACAGTCTGAGGGGGTCCAATATGATTAATCCAAGATACGTATTATAGGAAATTCAGGGTCTCTTTACCAATATGCATGAACAAAACAACCGGATTTAAATTTTAAAAAAAAGGAAAAAAGAAGTTCTCAATTGCGTGGCTACTAATTAGGAGGAAATTTCAAAGCAGACTGGTTTTGAAATTTATTTTCAAAAAAGACCTGTTTCTAACTTAATTTCAAAAAACGATCCAGTTGACTGAAACTGGATCGGTTTATGAAAAAAAAATTCACAAACTTCACGGGAGTTGAACTCCCGTGAAGTTTTTTCTCATAACAAAACTTCACGGGAGTTGAACTCCCGTGAAGTTTGTGAATTTTTTTTTTCAAAAAATGACCCAGTTTCAATCATCTGGGTCGATTTTTGAAATTAAGTTGGAAACATGTCTGTTTTTGTGAATAAATTTCAAAACAGGCCTGTTTTGAAAATTTGTCCCTACTAATTATGACAGGTTGAAGATATTGTAAAGTGGGAATAAAAGTGAAGAAAAGTTGAAGAGGAATTTAATTAAACTTTTGAAAAATAAGAGGAGCTCCCTTGCTATATATGTTGGAGGTTTTTTTTTTTTTTTGAAAACCACCTATAAAATACATCAAATCGATAAAAAATACATTTCGAGTTTTTTTATATGTAAACTAGGTTGGTGTAGTTTTAATTTGTAACTTCTAACAAATTCCGCTCAATTAATATCTTAATTGTCCTTATTAATTACACGTGTAGTTGGTAAACACATGTTGGTATTAATTCACCGGAAATTGACGAAAAATGGTTGATTAAAAAACTAGAAGTCACTTATAAGATGATTTACTTACGAAAAAACTTTAAAGATTATTTCTATTTATTCGATCAATTTTAAAGATGGTTTTTATGGGTGAAATAACCCGATATAGCTAATGACGATGCATAGGATTCGTTCAGTAAAACTGTAGCCGTCCTGTATCTGTACCTCGTTGTTTTTGTTCCGTTTCTTCGTCGGATTCCCTGGGCCACGCCGTATAAGTCACTTCCAAGTCAATTTCCCGGATTGTCACATCTCAGCTGTTTCGTGTTCTATCACCTTCAGCAGATCCCCCACCTCGAAAGATAGGAGGAGATGATGATGCCCCCGCTGTCGGTCCCAAGGGGTAAGGTGCCAAAAACTAACTATTTAAATTAATTTATAACATCAAATTGTAATGCTCCAATTAAAAAACAAAGCAAAGATAAAGACGTGACTTAGTATCTACTAATTAAAAAAGCAATTAAAAAAAAAGACCTTCCTCTCTCACCCCCCTGTTGATCTCTCTCTTTCTTCGTCTTTTTAAGTCTCGTGACAATGAATCCATTTTCTTTTTAAACTCTGAGTTCCTCAATGATTTCAACCTTTTTGAACCCTTTGCCGCCTCTCTAATTTCTCTCGTTCACAATGAGAGAGGGGGGAGAGAGAGAGAGACAGAGGCAGGGAAGCGAGCTCGTCTTGTTCTAGCTAGTTCTCTCTAGCTTCAGATTTGGGCTGCAGAATGCGGGGATTAGGGTTAGGGTTCTTTCTTCATTGATCCCGAGACCTCAGATCCAGGTGCGATTTCTTGCTGCATTTCTTGAAACTTCACTCTGAGACTCGTTCGCGCTGTTTTCTACTGTGATTTGAGCTTTTCTCGGCCAGAAATCGTTCTGATTTTCTCTTTTTTAGTGTAAATGTTGATTTTGAGCTTGATATGAGTAACCGGGTGGGGTGCCGCTAATTTTGGAAATATTTCTTTGAGCTGGAAATGCATCTTCAGCTCAAATTAGTATGATTATTTTTTGGTAATTACTTAGCTCTTTTGAGCGAATTTAGGAAGGAGCTTGATTAGGACAGTATAGTAGAGCGTGAGAAAGATAGCTGTTGGTACCAAAATGGAACAATATGAGGTATTGGAGCAGATTGGGAAAGGTGCGTTTGGTTCTGCTCTCCTTGTGAGGCACAAGCTCGAAAAGAAAAGGTAGGCACTCAAGGAAATAGCTGGATTTTTTTTAATATTTATCTCTTTTTGCTAGATTCATCCAACTATTCCCCTTTGTTATTAAGCTTGTTATCCCTCGCAGGTACGTTTTGAAAAAGATTCGCCTTGCTCGCCAGACTGATCGATGTAGAAGGTCGGCCCATCAAGAGGTATGCTCAAGACTTGCTTGTTCTTGAACTAAACTGCACTGCAAAGTTGGGCCAGGAAATTGGTTGCTTGTTGGAGGCATATGAGATGAGAAAAATTGATTGTTGCTAGTAGTTGAGACAATTAAACTGTACTAATAGGGATTAATATAATTTACTTCGTCTATGAGGTGGTTGTCTATATGTGTCAGACCAGTTGGTGGTGACCCAGAATGTTGAATTTAAGACTCAGATTGTATATGTCTCATTAGTGAGGAATGCTTCTAATTGCAAAGTGGTTCCCCATCTTTTGGGTCATTGCTCATGAAATCTTCCTATGACTTGAGTTCCTTTGATTATCTAAAATTGCACTCTTACAACTTGAAAATTTATTTTATTATTTGTCTGAACTTTCTGCTAAACGATGCTATACCTAGAATTATAGATGAACAAATTATATATGATTTATACCCCAAATGGTTTATGACCTTTTCTGTTCCATTGAGTACTTTATTTGCCAAGTGCCAGAAAGTTCCAAGACTATAGCGAGAAGTTTAATAATTTAGGTTGCGAAATTTGGGTAACTAAGATTGCCGTTTGTCACTTATTTATTTATATTATATTTCTTTTATTCCCATTAAACAGCTATAGGATTCATTATAACAAGTTTCACGCTTATGCAGATGGAGCTTATTTCTAAAGTAAGAAATCCATTCATTGTGGACTACAAGGATTCTTGGGTAGAAAAGGTCAGTGCTTTTCTTACCTAAAAATCACTTGAGAAATATCTTGTTCCTATTTTTTCTTATTATATTCATTTCGTGTGCATGCGGTAACGGCAATAATGCATCTTCTTCTGTGTATGATGTAACTTTAAGATGAATATGGGAAGCTAGATTTTATGTTTACCCTATAAGGTAGCTTGCTGCTAAAAATTATTTTCTTTTCCTTTTTCTTCTGGAACACTATGTTTTCTTGAATTTCCGAAGGCTTCTAGAGATTATCTTGGAAGTTAGTCTACCTTTTAATTGATATCCTACAAAACTCTTCATATGGTCTCCTTGGATTTTATTATAGTATGTATGGGTGGTGACGAACTATGCTATTCCCAATCTGATGAAGAAAAATACTTGCTGACTGTCTCAGTTGTGCTAATTTCTGAGTAATATCTGGTCATGAAACCCATCAAGCTGTTAATATTTCTGAACTTCTGTTACTTACAAGCAGAGCCTTGTGACTTGGATATTTTATTTCTGATTTAGCTCATCTTCATTCAGTATTCAGATATGCAATTTGTCAAATCACACTGCAGAAATCATTAATGTTTCCTTGATTAAGTAGTGAACTCACAGACATGTCTGCTTTCAGGGCTGCTATGTATGCATTATCATAGGTTATTGTGAGGGAGGGGATATGTAAGTTTCTTCTTTCAGTCAAATATCTATCTTTGGATGATCTCAATGTTTAAATTGTGTAACTGATTGTTCTGCACCATGTTGAATAGGTCTCAAGCTATAAAGAAGGCCAGTGGAACTCTTTTCCCTGAAGAGGTCGTTTACTTAAACAGATTCATTTATCCTTGTTGCATGCACATGTTTGCATGCCTTCCTGTCTATGTGCATTCGTCCTTTCACGGCCTATAATAGTGATCTGAATCTAGCATTAACATCATAATTTTTTATACTTCTTTGTCATCTGTGTACAGAAACTTTGTAAGTGGCTTGTTCAGCTCCTTATGGCTCTAGATTACTTGCATATGAATCATATTCTTCATCGGGACGTTAAGGTCAGTGCTAATTCTGTGGAATAAAGCTATTTTATTGTTCAGAGTGCTAGTTTCTATTTATTGATAGCGGCATAAATTGCTTCAGTGTTCGAACATTTTCCTGACAAGAGATCGGAACATACGGCTTGGTAAGTGATTCTCTAAAGACTGCATCATGATTAAGTTAAATTGCAAGTCCCCAACTACCCAATGAGTTAAACGCTACCATCCCTGTGAGTAAATACATCTTTGGAAATTGCCATTAAATGCAGGTGACTTTGGGCTTGCTAAGATGTTGACTTCAGATGAGTTGGCCTCTTCTGTGAGTGCTACACCTTGTGTTGTTAATTCTTACAATTAAATGTGGTTGCCTTTCTAACAAATGCAGGCTGCTAACACAGGTAGTTGGAACACCCAGTTATATGTGCCCAGAGCTTCTAGCTGACATACCTTATGGTTCTAAATCTGATATTTGGTCTTTAGGTAATATATTCTATTTCTTCTTCTCGTTAATATACAACTCCCTTCTTATCTTTTGAATATCTAATTATTTTTTTGCAAATTATAATATTCAACAATTCAGGTTGTTGTATATATGAAATGACTGCATTGAGGCCTGCATTCAAAGCTTTTGTAAGTTGCAGTTACCCTTTTTGTGCTTAATTCATATATGTCACATGCATTGAATGGTGTTTTGAGGTTGTGCTGCGGACTTGGATTTGTTTTTGAAGTGATTGGTGGGTGCATCATGGATGATGATGAAACTGCATGGGGGTTGTGTGATGAAATGAAGAGGCAAGTTGGCACTAAGGCTCGAGACTAGCGAGCTCTAATAAGATATTAGAGGATATAATGGGTTTCCTTATTTAACAAATAAAATAATTTAGTTTAAGTTGTAATGATCAAAGGATATACCTTCATTAGTTATAAGAAAAAGAACATGTGATTTCATGGGGCAAATATAAACCCAATGATTTTAAGATGGTATTGGAAATATAAAACCTTTTACGGGTAATATTGGAATTTGTCCAGATCATCGGAGTCACTGATACACCAAATTTCTCTATTCAATGTTCATTTTTTAATTGCCAGACATTGTCTTGGATACTTGGCTTTCCAACAAATTGTATGGGTAGTATATAGACCATGTTTTTATACCCAAAACAGACTTAAGTTAGTTGGACAAGGTATCACTCTTTCAAGTAAGAGGTCTTGAGTTTGATTTCCACCATCCACAACGGCAACATTCTATGTTGGGGAGGGGGGCATTACATGCTTGAGGGTTACACGGATGCTTGAAGAGGCCTAGACACCATTGTTAGTAAAAGGGACTGTCTTTCCACTAAAGTCTTAATGGACTGAAAACAGTTTGATCTGCATGCATTCCTATTATTATTATTATTTGTTAATGACATAGATAGTTAATGCTGCCATTAGAAATAGCAATCCCTGTCCTGCATTTGATGATAAACACCTCAAATGCACTTTCTGCTTTTTGAGCAGGATATGCAAGGTCTGATAAACAAAATTACCAAGTCTATAGTAGCTCCTCTTCCAAGTACATATTCCGGTGCATTGTAAGTTTTTCCTTTTGGGTTCAATTTCCTTATTTCATAGTTTTTTACCCTCCTAAGTACATTTTCTGATACATTTGTAATTCTTTTATTCTACAGTAGAGGCTTGATTAAAAGCATGCTCCGGAAAAGCCCAGAACACAGGCCAAGTGTATGTATTGACCAAAAATTATACTTTTATTTCTCATATTTCAATTTCTCTCTTCAATAAAATTTCATTTTCCAGGCTGCAGAACTGCTGAGGCATCCACATCTTCAACCATTTGTGATTCAAGTCAATCTCAAGTCCAGTCCCACTTATAACTCTCTTCCTGTCCCTCACCCTGTTAGCAGTCACATAAAGAAAATCAGGTTTCATAATAACGAAGATGATTCTGTGATGAAGGGCAAGGAGAAGAGGCACTCGTTGGGCAATGAGAGGATCTTGAGAGAGGATCGACCTTCCATTGATCGGGATTCAATAAGCTCGACCAGAAGTATTAAATATTATCCAGATAATTTGAACCAAGGCATGAAAGATTTGTCAGTTGGCAGTAGTCAAGTTGGAGATTCAGGTCTTGCTAAGACTACAAATGTTAAGCCAAGTGTTACTAAGACTGCTAGGTTTACTCCTTCCAAAATCTTTACGACTCCCAGGAGGCAATCAGAACCAGCAAAAATCATGCATACTGGACCAAAACATAGAACCGTATGTTCTCTATCTAATTTAACTGGCAAAGTTCATTATATATGCTTCTACTTCATTTTGAAATTGCCTAAAAATTCCTGCTAATTGAGAGGTTTATTTGACATTCTTACAGTGTTGCTTCATTTTTATGTATAATCTTATATCAGTGACATTTAGCTGACACAATAGAACTACAGTGAATTTGCAATTAATTTCTTGAAGTGAGAAAGTATATGAACTACTAATTGATGAATCCGCGGAACATTCAACTTATTTTATAAGACATGCAATTTTGTGTCCTGTACCCATGTGATCATGCCTGTAATTATACTCTTGTCAAGCATATATGTATTTACATTATACCTTCATTGTCAATAACGCTCATTTCAAATGTTACCTATTTAGTGTTTTAAGTTCCTATTTTGTTAAATTTGCAGCCATCAAGAACTCCAGTAGATAGATTGGCCCACCCCAACAGAAGAGCATCACTTCCCATGTCCTCATTGAAAACGCTAGCTACAAACCACAATGCAAAAATTCTCCGTAGGCTGGAGTCTCCTGATGTTTCCGTAAATGCCCCTCGCATCGATAGAATCCCTGAATTCCCATTAGCTTCGTCAGAAGACCCCTTCTCCACCCGCAAGATTTATTCAGCCCATGGTTCATTCTCTACTACACCAAACTACACTGATCGCACCATAACCAAAGACAAGTGTATGGTCCAGATATTTACAGCAGATGGGGATAGAAGTGATTCTTCAGGAAGAAATCCTTCAGCTGGTGATGCTTCAAGTAGGGGATCATCGGATTCAAGGAGGAGATTTGATACTTCATCATTTATGCAGAGGGCACAGGCTTTAGAGGGGCTGCTAGAGTTTAGTGCACGGCTTTTGCAGCAGGAGAGGTTTGAAGAGCTTGGGGTTTTGTTGAAGCCTTTTGGACCTGAGAAGGTTTCACCCAGGGAAACAGCTATTTGGCTTTCGAAGAGCTTTAAAGAGACAACGAGCTGACCGTTATGAAATCTCATGGTGTAAACTAGGGTTTGTAATCTACTCCTTTTATTAGATTTCATGCACTCCATGAAAGGTAGATGGATAGACTGACAGTCGAAGCTTTTAGCAGGGCGATAACTCCCTGCTTAAGTTGTAGCTAGCAGATTGATGCTGCTTTTGTAGTGTAATTTTTTGCCATTTTCCTGTATGCAAGTTTCTCCGTTTTGTTTGCCCATGATTTAATATGATATGGAAAATGGAATGTTATCCTACTATGAGACAAGTAAATTGGCACAGGATGTCTTTCTCCATAACTTTTGCTTATTATGATATGTATGTCACAATATAGGATTTTTTCAAACCGAGGGCAATTCTTATATATTACAAGTAGAAATTGGAAATGTTGACCAAATATTAATTCCAATTCTTCATATCAGTGTTTACTAATATGGTACAGAGCTGTGGTAGAACTGTTAAAAAAAGGATCATTCTAAAGTGAAGATATTAAACATGGAAAATTTTAATAAATTGTCACCAAATAAAATTTGGCAATGCTCATTTATTTAAAATTTGAACCACAGGATTGAAGGCAGTTCGGGTTTACATTGACACACCGTACAATTTGTAGCGAGGCAGGAAACTCGCTACCTAATGCGTCAGCTCACCTACTTGTAGACAGAAAGATGAACCTAACCAGGTCCATCAACTTACAGCAACATATCCCACTGAAAATTGGCACCTCAGTTGGATATTCGCAAATGCGTATTCGCATAAAATAAACACTAAAATTCACAGAATTGCAACATCCCCTCAACAAATTTCTCATATCAACAGCACAGTGCTATCCGCCAAACAGGGAGCTGAAGAAGGTCGACTCGTCTTCAACTTGATAGAGCTTCTACGACTTCAACTTGTTTATCATGCACTACTGGCTTCAGTGTCAGGCTCCCTGAAAGCAGTCTTGTGCTCATCGCCATTTCTAGGAGGAGAAACTGTTGATGATGAGGATGACTCGGGGGGTTGGGACAGCTGGCGGGGGCTGTCTTGTGATTGGTTCCTGAAACTTCAGGTGTTTAGAGGAGGGGATGGTTCTGGAGCTTGTGGTGCTTGATGGTTTCCTTGTCCAGCTTCAGCAAGTTTTCTTAAGAGGTTCATAACTACTGGAACGAACTTTTTGATGATATTGAGAGAATTCCTGGAAGCTGCAATGTCAACATAATAAGAACCTAGACGATCAAAAGACGGAAAACGTAACAAGCATTAAAGCAAGAGATAGATGAAACCCTTATTCGCACAGACAACAACATAAAAGCAAGACATGTCAAATTCTTATCAAAAACAGGATAATAAATGCACTCGTTTCGGGATTTATTATCATCTAAAAATTACACAAAATTAATTCCACCCAAAGCCTATTTCGAAGACAGGTGAGAACAAATAAGTGAAAGATCTGGATTTCAAGTACAAAACCATGTTTTAGAAAGAAGCAGGCGCCACAAAAAGGTTTTCTTTAACAATGAAGCACAAGGTGGACAAGAAGTGGATATCTTTTGAGAATAGTGTGGTACATCGAAGAGAAAACACAAATTGAAAAGTGGGTTTCCTTTTTACCTATATACCCCAAAAACCCTATTCTTTTTGGCATTGTCAAAGCTTAAAACACTAGATCAATGACGGACGCTAAGTTGATGGCCACGAGTTCTACGAGCCCAAGTCATTTCCAAGGAACTAAAGTACAATGTCACCGAGCCTGAATCCATGGGCAGGATCGTGGGCCTACCATCAGTCAAGTCTATGACCAACCAACAAGAGCAACAGGATGAAAGCGACCAAAGGGAAGAAGTGATAATAAAGAGGAGAGAAGAGAAAAGGAAGAGTAAATGAGCTTTGGTATTAGAGCGTAAGGATCAAAGAATGTATACGCTTCAGCATAAGGAAATTATCTGCTTTGTGTTAAGAAGGGGTTTTCTTCGGTTTTCTTCCAGTGACCCCTTTGTTCTTCTACTTAATATATGTACTCAGAATACTTTGAAGGATGACGTCTTCAATATCATTATAAACTATGGTAGTTACACATGACATGATAAAGCAAGTTTATAGTAGTTTCAGAAAGTCAGTTTTAAGAGTCTCGCAGCTTTGGCCCATAAAATAAGATTTTCTACTTCTCAAATCAGCACAACTTTAACAAGAAACTACTTTTTGTCACGCGCCATTACCAAATTCTCTAGCAATACCAAGTTGTACTCACAGAGCTCTTGATAATAAAAACAGAACAAAAATTACTCCAAGGTATAAAGGATTCCTGCAAGAGAGCAAATGAAACTAGCTACAGTTGGCAAATTTTCTATTCACAAAAAGTAATTTCTATTCTTTTCTTTCTTATTTAACCTCATGAACTAGCCGTCAGATTAAATTGGCACTAGTTGGATGAGAATGTGAATAGATGGTGAACATTACTTCAAAAGCACCATAAATTCATTGAGACCAAGGACTGCAATTGCAAGAAGAGCCCACGGAGGAGGTAGCCAACTGCTACTGCGCTTGTGAGCTTCCTAAAAAACAATAAGGTTATGCATTAATCTAGACATAGTAAATAAAAATATAAAACCCAGGACTGAAAAATAGGTGCCAGGATATGGCAGGAACTGCAGAGGAGGCCTTAACATTGGAAAACATCTCAACATGATGGTATACAAGCATAAATAGCAGTAATGTTTATATATAATACTACAGAAATGACAGTAATTAAAAAATGTACACCTGCGCAGATATTGCTTGCGTGACTCTGTACTCTGTCTCTGTTTTGAATTGTCTCCACAAAGACTTGCATTGCACCGGTGTGATTAATGTATTTTTTGGAGGAACCTGGATCACACAAACACAGCATGGCATGCTTTATGCGCTAAAATACTTTTATTTCACGCATAAAGTAGAAACTGAGATGTATCAAATAGAACCTCTTCCCATGAATTTGAAGCAAGTGGATCTGTATAAGTTGCAATTCCCTGTTTTTGGAGGTAGGAGCATCAGTAAGAGCTGAATTGAGAATGGCTTCTATCTTATCTGACTTCTCATCCAAATGAATAGCAGCCATAACAGATAAATGCTTCAGAGCCTGCAGAAGTACTCCTTTGTTAAAAAGCAGGCAGATCACATGGTAGGAAATTCATAAATATACTTATAGCAACTAGAAAAATGTATTATTTGAAATAATCGGGCATGCTAAAAAACGTTAAGATGTGGGGTCAATGAAAATGTAAAATTGTGAGATACCGCTGCACGAGCATCCCTTGTGATTCTACAAATGTCCTCCTTTCCTGTCCATACTCTTGGCATCGAGTCTTTATCATGGCTAAATACTGTTGAGAATCTGGAAATAGCATAATGATGACAATTGTAAAATCACAGAAGCCGTTATGGTTCCAAGAAATCCAGAGAACAGGCCAGATACCTGTCCTTCATATTTATCAAAACCTTGCCTGCTTCTTCCCTGGACTTCTTTTCTATCACTTCCTTGTGTGTTCCTTCAGATTTACAAGCATTTCATCAAAAAGATACTTGGTCCAATTCGAAGCCAGAAAGAGAATTTGAGAACTCTGAAAACAGCCTTCTCGGTTTCATGTTTATAAAGCTTTCTGATACATGCACAAGTATCTATTCCAGAAGCATAAAATAAGGATTCCACAGGTTCGGAAAGAGCTTCAATTAGGTTTTTCTGAAGGAAGATTAACTCTTAATCATAATCCCGTTGCAAATATTAACTAAACCATTGAGAATACGTCAAGCCTAGATAGATATATGCTTGAAGATAGATGGTAATGAAATAACTATCAACATCAACAGATTGGAATTGATTTGAAATTATTTTCTAGCACATGTATATAAACCTCATAAGCAGCTGACAACTCTGAAAACTTTGCACTGCGGATAGAAGCCACCATGTGCTTCAATATCACGGACAAGTTTTCTCTCGGACTTTAGAAGTATCCCAGTCTGCCTGCGTAATTATGATGTCTATAATGGAAAAAATCACAACAAATGACATCAGTCATATCATCTCTACTGGCAAGAATATAACATGAATATGCTAAAACAGCGATGCCATATGCGTCAAGGTCCACATAAATACAGGGAATGCTAATAGTTTGAAATTGTAAAAGCCATCATCAATAAGCAATGCGAAGGAAAGACCATAAGCTGAATTACAATTTCAAGCCTTATCTTATACGTCAAGTTCAGTCCTCCGAGTCTTGCTTTACCAATTTACTCTTATTAGGACATCAATTTCCCCCTCTTTTTTCCATGACCTTCATCCCTCCTCTTTAAAGGATTATAAGACCAACTAAAAAAATAAAAATCAGGTGGTTACACAGGCCAAGTTTATACATTGCAACGCATGAATGTACTCACACATTTGCCTCTCTTTATTCACCAGCATGAACAAACTCTTAATATCACCATCATTTCCAACTTGCACTATAACACTTAATTCATTTGGCATTTTCTGCTTCTATAGGTCTTCATCAATAAATACAAATATATAAAAGACATCTCTTTAATTTTAGGAGTCAGAGACATGCTAAAGGAAATGTTACCTGCACACCCTTGATCAAATTCATTGATGGAAGACGGAGTACAGGAGCAAACAGGTGATGCAAAACCTTTCCCACTTTTTATTGACAGTTCCATATCATTTTTAAAATTTTCAAGGGATCTAGATCGCAGATGTCCCAACATTGACTGAAAAGCAGGATGCACAAGCTGCAACAGTCACAAATAAGTACAAGTTAATTATGATCAACCGTTAGATAATAGCCATGAGAATGATGTGGGTGCATTAGATACTGACAGAATGGTGTTGTTATTAAATTCCATTTATGGTATTTACAGATGACAACAGCAGATACATTATTGGATGAATATCAGCGGCGCAGCAAGTAGAGGATTGAACACGAAAGAAAATGTGGAGGGTAAAGATTAATAAAGCCCTCACACCTTTTTCAGGCTTCACTTGCACATCTTAATCACCAAAAAAAAAAAGACTTTCAGAATTTTTAGTTCTTCAATCATTAAATTTCACAATTGAAATATATTAAAAAAGATAAACTGGGTGGATCATTTGAGATAGCGGAACACAAAAATCTTATCATGAAATTCATATTTTCAAAATTCCATAAAAATCCATTTAATTTCACTATTGAAAAAGGGACAATCTGGATAAAGATGAGGTAGATGAAGCATATGGTTACATGCAAAGCTCTTGATTCCAATTGTCGCCGTTTTGCAGT